TCCCATAAATCTCCATTCCTGGAGGTTACAATTCATGCTCTCTGCTACCTTGTATTCCATTGCTCCAGTATTTGGACTTCCCTGGTCAGTGATTTCTGGCCCTTGTTCACCTTTAGAAACCAATTCTGGGTTTTACTCTCCTAGTCCTTTGGGTATTTTGATGTTCTTGATACAGTGGGCATCAGTGGAGAGAGGCTACCTCAGGATAATGTATTTGCTGACTCAACTCCACAATGAACTCGAATAACTGAAAGCAATATAAATGAGTAATCACAGAGCAAGATGAGCTTTCGTATTTTGACTTATCACTTAAAGGTTAACGGCAGTAGAATTTTTGAAGTGATTGTGGCAGAGATTATTCGGTGTCCCCCACAATCTATGCTCCTCTTTTGGATGCAAGCCGGACCTGCTTTGTTGGTCATTGCCACCTGGGTAAGAGTGAGGTGCCACTTCTAAGCCAGGGCCTTTGCAGAGCTGGTCTGCCTTCTCAGTGCTTTTTTCCCTCCTGCTGCCTTACCCTTGGGGCGTGGAGGCTGGCTTCAGCCACACAGATGGCAAAGCCCTTCACAGGGTACAGCCACAAGCCAGGACTCTGAATCGGACAGAGGAAAGCCACCTGCTAACCTGGAATGAGCAAGAAAAAACTGACTGTATTTGGGCCATTGTTACTACTATTATTTCTTTGTTTTGTTTTTGTTTTTTGAGATAGCGTCTCACTATGTAGTAGAGACTGACCTGGAACTCACTATGTAGCCCAGGCTGGTCTCGAACTCACAGTGATCCTCCTGCCTCAGCCTCCCAAGTTGCTGGGATTACAGGTGTGCACCACCATGCCCAGCCTGGGCCATTGTTATGGGGGTTTATGACATCAATTTAGCTTAGTTTACCTAACGATTTTTTAAAACTTTTTTTTTCTAGTACTAGGGATTAAATCCAGGGGCTCACACATGCTAGGCAAGTGTTGGGCTACTAAACTGTACCCCCAGGCCCCCAATAATCGTATTTAAAAGACTATCATTATGTGTTATTTCTGTATAAAGGATGCAGGGATATGGTGTTTGGGCCTGAGGAGTATGACAGGCACTCTACCATTATATACTTTCTTATTCATTTTTACAGAGAATTTCCATGGTCACTAAGGGAAGAGGGAAAGGACGGCAGGAGAGTTCTGGTATAGACTTCACTTGTAGGGGTCCTTCCTTGGCTGCCTCAGCGCTCCGTGTGCTCCCTTCACTCCTTCTGTACCGACTGTCCCTAGTCCTCACCTGGCACTTACATACGGAGAGCAGAGCAGCATTGGGAGGATTGGGGGAGGCCATCCGGGTGGGGCCCCTCAAGGTCCTGATCCCTTCAGGGATTTGTCTTTGAGCTTTCTGGATCCAGAAACACGAGATCTGCTGTGTACAGAGCTCTGCAGGCTTTCACACTTGAGACTCATGCTGACCACGATGGATAAATCAAAATGTCCATGCCTGATTATGCTGAGTGATAGTCCTACCAGTATAGTCTGGAAGTCCCTGCTAGTAGGTGATGCATTTGGGAAAGCAAGTAACCAAAAGGCTGTTTGGTGAGAAGGAATCGGAGTAGTTGGGTAATTGGGGGAATCTACCATCCAGGCCACGCATGTGGTGAATCACCTCACAGCAGTCACACATTCAATGACCAAAACCTTTTTATGAAATTCAGTCTCTTCCTTGTAGAGCATGTCGTAAGAGTGCTGCTGTTAAGATTTCCAAATTCTAAGGCTTGTGCAGTTTTGGTTTTTCCTCCCTCCTCTGATAAATGCAAGTTAGCAGAGTGCTGTTTTCTGTTACATTTATCCGAGTCCGCGTCCTGGTTTTCATGATTGGACTTGAGTGTTCTCCAAGTTCTGTCACTTATCCATTGGAACTTTAACTTCTCAGTATTTAGTACTCACATGACTGCTTACGAGTTAAAAGTATCTGACAAGCTTAATGAGTTGAAGTGCTTAGCGAGAAGTTGTGTACAGTTAGTTAATATTAACATCATTACTTAATTAGATTATAAAGCTTTTATCACTATCCACCTAATATTACCAGGCCCCTGTAGTACACGGGTGTCCAATCTTTTGGCTTGCCTGGGCCACAATGAGTGAAGAGGAACTGTCTTGGGCCACATATAGAATATTAATATAGTTAATATACATAAGTAACAAAGTTTTAAAACATTTTAACTTGTGAAATAACGTACCAAGCCCAAGTTTGATAATTACATAAGCACACTTACATTTCTGCTTAATAACAATAAATGCTGTGAGTTCGAGACCGGCCTGAGCTACATAGTGAGTTGCAGGTCAGTCTCAACTACATAGTGAGACCCTGTCTCAAACCAACCAAAAAAAAAAAAAAAAAAAAAAAAAAATGCCTGTTTTCATAGGTATACATGTAGGTGGGTTAAAATATTACCGGTAGTTGTGTTTGGCTTGCCAGGTTGCACAAATGCATGTAACGTCTGCTCCACGTAGTCTATTTGCCTGCATGAGGAGTACAGGAGGCAGAGCCACCACTGCACTGTGCCCCCGCTTACCTGACATTCCACTGTTGAATATGCAGTCCATGTCCAAGTACCATGCAAACAAGTTACAAAAAGTATTGTTAAAATAATAATGTCGAAAGTTTATGACCCTCTGGAACTGCATTACTAGCTGTTCGGGGCCACTCATGGGCTGGGGGCCAGACACATCTGCTCTCCTGTCTTACATCTAGTAAGAACCTAATGCTTGATGTGGTGAAAGGAAGTCGCTGAAATGGACACGGAAGTAGAAACACCCTAGAACAGGCACTGCCATTCACAATCTGTCCAGTTCAGGAATGTGTTATCCGCAGAGGGAAGACCTGGAATTCAATGACCTGAAAATTAGAGCATAATTTCTCATAAGTCTAAAGTGTCCTCCCCATATTTTGAGACTTGGTGACATCTTCTGACCTTTAAAAAAGACTTTTAGAGTCTGGAGATATAGCTCAGTAGTAGGGCACTTGCCCAGCATGTATCAACCCCTGGGTTCAAAGTCCAGCATCCCCAAGATAAGATTTTCATAGACTTTTATTTGTTTTTTTTCTTGGTTCCCAATGTCTTTGGCCTTTGTCATATTCTTCTACCTGCATTCCCTCTTCTCTTTCTTAGTTGTCTGGATCTTCCCTAATTTGGGGCCTTTTATAATTATTTTTTTAAAGTACAGTAACCAAGATACATTCAGAATTCTAGCTGCAGGTATGTCTTGCATTGAGAATAGGATACGGCAGGGGTGGCAAACCTTTTAGAGCTTTCAATGATACAAGCAGCCCATGGCGGCATGCATGCCACGGGTTTGTCACCACTGGGGTAAGGTTTTCTGTTTGCTTCCAATACTCCTTTTGGTGGGTGATCCTTTGAGTGACCTTAGGGATTTAAGTTCCAGTAAGTGCTTCTCAAATCTTTACATTCCTCAGGGCTGGGGATTTAGCTCAGTGGTTCCATCCTCTACCTTGCAAGCTCAAGAACCCACATTTGATCCCCGGTATGAAAAAAAAAAAAATCTTTACTTTCCTCAAAACTGGCTTTGGATTGAATTTGGGTTCAAGAAAAAGCTCAAAACCACAGAAATTAGATTCATGCTTGTCTTTTGTTTTGAGACAGGTTCTCACTATGTAGTTGAGACTGACCTAGAACTCACTATGTAGCCCAGGCTGGTCTGGAACTCACATGGATGCTCCTGCCTCAGCCTCCTGAGTGCTGGGATTACAGGTGTGTGCCACCACACCCAGCAAGATGCATGCTAGTCTTAATCTGTCTTTAACAAATCTCTGCAAATAAAGAGATCTTATGTCAGTAATGTTACAACTCCCCAGCCACCACCCACTACCTGGACACCAGTTTGAGAAGCAGGACCCAAGGGTACAATCTATAATAACATTCTGCTCTGATAGTTTAAGATTCCTTTATTTATTTGGTACCTGGGATCGAACCCAGGTCCTTGTGCTTGCAAGGCAGGCAGCAGAACCACTGAGCTAAATCCCTGGCCCTATATTCCTTTTTAAAAAATATTTATTTATTTTTAGATTCCTTTTTGATAGAGTTGGATTGTTTAGTCTCTTCACCCTCAATGTAGGTGGGAAAATACTCAAGTTGTCAGAATACGTATGTAGTTCTTGATGTGCTGGGAGGAGGAAGGCTTCTTGGGGAGATGAACTGTGTAGTAAAGAATGGAAACATTGGGACTGGATGAGATACAGCTCCTGAATCTGGCACTTAGCAGATGTGTGACCTCTCAAGTTTACCGCTTGTTTCCTCACCTATGGAATCAGTGTCTATGCCATTTAGTTGCCTAATAGGATTGTTTTAAATAAGAATTTGTGTTCCATGGTTAGACAGTGCCTGGGACCTTTTAAATAATCAATAAATGTCAAACATGTCTTTCTGTATGCTTTAACTCTGCCAACTTTTTATTTAAAAAATGTGGAATTTCCAATGTACTTTTTTCCTTAAATGACAGTATTTTTCTTTAAATCCTGTGGGCTAGTCTTGGTATTTTAATTCTACTTCATAGTTCTGGGTATGTGAGGTCTAATTGCTACCAATTGCTACCTGTGATTACTGTAACATCTCTGGGTTAATCTCTGAAGCTCAGCTTCTTCTTCAAAATGGTGTTCATAATAGGACCTATCTCAAGGTCGTTGAAGACTGAGGTAACCCTGCCAGTCATATGACTTTTTTTGTGGTACTGAGCTTCAAACCCAGGAGTACTCTTCCACTGAGCTACATCACTAACTTTTTAAATTCTGAGACATTGCTAAGTTTCTGAGGCTGGCCTTGAACCTGTGATCTCTTGCCTCAACCTCTTGAGTAGCTGGGATTAGAGGTGTGTTATTGCATCTTGCTACATGTGACATTTTTAATTTTACTGACAAAGAATATGATGTTGTCACAAGTTATTTGTGGCCCCGGCTAGTGAGAGAACCACACATACAGTTTCACCTTGTCATTCTCTCATTTGTTTTCAGGCTGCCGCCTTAAAGACTTTGGAGATTTGAGTTTTACTCCAGTCACCAAAGATGATCCCTTCAACAACCTGGTCATGAATCCACGCTCAGTGGGCCTCGCTAACCAGGAACTGACTGAGGTGGTTAGTAGAGCGGTGTCAGATGGCTATAGCTGTGTCACTGTGGGAGGAGACCACAGGTAAGCCGGGAGTCAGGGAAACAGCTGCATGACATAGCACTTTGGACAGATAACTTGGTTTCCTTCCCTGGAAAAAAATATTCTACAGAATTTTTAGGGTATGTGTTACAACATTGTAATCTCTGTGATTTGCTTTGTACAATGCACTGTATTTTAAGAGGATGTGTACCTTCACAGCAAAGCTAGAGGTAGACAAAGAAAGGTGTTTATCTCTTATCTCTTAGAAATGCTTCTTGAGAAATTATTTTTCATTTTGTTTTATTTTGGAGAATTGGTGGAATCCATCAACAGGCTGAATGTAGGCATTTTTTGTTAGCATTTCTTCTAATAAATTTGTTAGAGACACCCTGCCCACCCACCAAGTGAATACAATTTTTACCTTCAAATTATGGACCCTAGGTGACTATTTTTTTTCTGAGCAAATCAGCATGTACTTTACTGAGAACTGTACAATGATTTTTTTTTCAGTAGTGCTAGGAAATATGGGAAACTTGGGAATCTACCAAGACTACATGAAATTAATACATGTGGAATGAAAATTTACAAATACTGAATTATACAGAATTTTAGAGATGAAGTCGGGTCAGTCTGGGCTAGAGTCAAACTTCACAAGGGAGTGTGATGTGAGCTGAGTAATAAAGATTTTTGGTAGCAAAAGGCATCTGAAGTACTAGGAGTATGAACATTTCATACATATTTTTAGTTCTCCTAAGAATGCCATGAGGTAGGTGTGGTTTTATTTGATTTTCTGCTGGAAGCACCGAGGCGAGATAACTTATCCCTGAAGGCCACGAGCCAGGGAGTAGCAGAGCTAAACTAGGTAAAGATGCAAACAGTGTGACCCCTATGGGAATTAATTTCTCTTTTCAGATCCAGTCTGGTGTTTTTCCCTGAGGTGCTCAGACAGCTTATCAGATCACTATCAGGGTTAAATTTGGTGTGTGTGTGCTGGGGATTAGACTCAGGACCTCCTCCCTGTTAGGCAACTGTTCTACCCCTGAACTTCATCCTCAGCCCCAGAAGAGGCAGGTAGATTCTGCATTAGGAATAAAAATTCAGTTAGGATAAGAAAGTGGTAATACCCAGGTTTCCTACTGCAGTGACTGGTGAATTCAATTAAATAAATCACAGGGGAGGTTTCCCGCCTCCTAGCTCAGTGCTGACTCTGCTTTCTTCTGGTCAGTTCTGTCTGGGGACTTGACCAATGTGATTAGCAGTCTTTTTTCCTTTGCCTGTAGCTATCTCTACTATAGCCATCTTACTGCTTACCTATTTCCTATTCAACCTAGGCTCTCTATACAGATTCTCTGCACAGAGGGGAAGGGATAGATGCACAACCTGAACAGCTGTTGAGGTTTTAAAGGAAGATGCATTTTCAGATCACTCCTTTTATATAGTACAACTTATGCTGTCACTTTAATCATTAAAGCACTCCTGATTTATATGGTTTTTTTTGCGGGGGAGACAGGGTCTCACTATATAGTTCAGATTGGCTTCTCACTACATAGCCCAGGCTGGCCTTGAACTCATGGCAATCCTCTTGCCTGAGCCTTGAGGGCTGGGACTACAAGCAGACGCCACCATGTCTGGCCACCACTCCTGATTTAAACAGGCCAAGTATGATTAACCCTTTCTATAGAGAGGGAAACTATACAGAAATAAGAGGAGTGGCTTCAGGAACAAACTACGTGGATTGGAACTCCAGTATTCTAAGTCCACTGCCATTTGCACTGGCCTGTACTATGCCTCAGAAGGACCCAGTGTGATGGGAAGCCTATAAGGCTCTCTCGTGATGTACTGACCAGGATGACTGTCGCTAGTTTCTAAGATGTGTCAAATCCCTTGGTTGCTGGCAAGCTTTGCAGCTTTCCAGCCATACTCAGCGGTATTCCAGCAGCTGATATAGGACAGGTGGCTGGCATAAACAATCCAAGGACAAGGAAGGGCAACTGAGAAACACCTCAGAATTTGAATGCTATGTAAAGGTATGTAACGTAACATTCATGCTAATATCCCTTATTTTATTCAGTGGTGTATAAGATCTTTAATTGGGATTGCCCTGTTAATTTAAGGTTTAACAACTTTGACTTTCAGGTTTTAGTAAGTAATACATACAAGCTTTCTAAAAAGCTGTAAAGCTTGCTAATTTTTCTCTTTTCTTTTCTTTTCTTTTTTTTTTTTGTGATAGTGCTGGGAATTGAACCAGGACCCTGAATATGCTTTACTACTGCTGAGCTGCACCCATACTCCTAATTTTTATCCTTTTGTTCTCTGGAAATTAGCATTAGATTTCCCAAGGAAATCCCTTTGGAAGTATTAAGCAACATTTTTCTGAACTGTTCCATACAGATCATATCATTTAACTAGATTTTATTCATTGAACAGATGTTTGAGGTCCTTTTCTGGGCCAGGGCCGCTAGTGGATCATAACTATATAGATTTGGGGGAAAGAAGTATCTCTCACTGCAAGGACAGGTGGTTGTTAGCACTGAATCTTCAGCGCTTTACATTTCTGCTGTGTAATCCTCTCAAGGTTAATCTTTGGAAGTACAATCCAGGCACTCTTGTCTCACCCTGACTCAGCTTCAGTTCAGGCCCTGACTTTGCCCTGAGGACAGAGTATAAGCTGTATTGGCTGGGGGTATTTGTTATGGGTGATGTTTACCAAGTAGAAAGCCTTGAAGACTATTATATTTGTTCTTCACAGCCTTGCAATTGGTACTATTAGTGGCCACGCCCGGCACTGCCCGGACCTTTGTGTCATTTGGGTTGATGCCCATGCTGACCTCAATACACCCCTCACCACTCCAACAGGAAACCTCCATGGACAGCCAGTCGCATTTCTCCTCAGAGAACTACAGGACAAGGTCAGTGGGCCAAAAGGAGAAGGTAATTGTCCTATAAGATTATCCTGGGGCTCTGGTTCACTAAGACTGGGGGAAGGATGGGTTGAGTGTGGCTAACCACTCCTTCATTTGTTTATTAAATACTACAATAGGCCAAGTAGTCTGCTAGATGCTAGGGACAGAGATACCGAGGACATGTTCCCCGCTATTGTGGGGAGGGGCTCATAATCTGGTGACAGAGTGAAGTGTTAGTGGATAGTAAAGGTAGTGATGGGTGTCCCACAGCCTCAGGGCCTCTTGGTTAGAGGCTCCCAGGCCACACACTCAGGTACACCGATCTAGCATATGAGTGATACCATGGTCACCTATGGGCGGTGCCTTTCTGTACTGTTCATAAGATATCAGTCCATGTTAGGCATAGACTAGACTCTGTATTCCTCCCCTCAGTGAGAAACCAAGTTAAACCAGGACAGTACAAAGATTGTTCATTAGACAGAATTCATTTGGCTGTTGGCAACTTAAAGCAGTCTGTAAACAGTCCAGTGCAAAGGGATGGAGAAGGGCTAATCACATATTTCTATTTAGATGAGTTAATGTAAAATCAAGACTACCTTAGAAGAGATTTTTTCTTCATTCTTTTTGAGGAAGTTATATTGTTTTTCAGCTGTCCTGAAATATTTCCACGTGCAAATCGAAGTATGTTTTTTGGGGGGCATGGGTTGGTACCGGGGATCAAATGTGGGACCTTGTTCTTGCGAGGCAGGTGGCGGCACCACTGAGCTAAATCCCTGGCTCACATGTTTTGTATTGCTTTAAACATATCCCAAGGACAAGAGGAGAAAACAACTGTAGCCCTCGAAGTGCACAGTGATGATGGGACACTAAGAATACTTGATTAATTCTGTTCAATTTCTCTTCATAGATACCATCACTCCCAGGCTTTTCCTGGATCAAACCTTGTATCTCTTCCCCAAGTATTGTTTATATTGGACTAAGAGATGTGGACCCTCCGGAACAGTAAGTTGATGCATTAGAATTAAGCTTTGGGACTGTGCTGACCACTTAAGGTTCTTTTTTTTTGTGGTGCTGGGGATCAAGCCCAGGGCCTTGAATATGGTAGACAAGTGCTCTATCACTGAGCTGTGCCATCAGCTCACTTGCATTCTTCTTGCATGTGCATGCTTGACTTAATCTGTTATCAATGTAAGGGGAAACTTCTTTAAACATACATCTGTATTTTTTTCCTTTAAATTTCATCCTATTTCTTGACAATATGGGAGCATTTGCACTGAACTGCATCTGTCCCTTTAAACATTTTTTTTTTATGTGAGACAGGGTCTTGCTAAGTTGAACTCCTGACTCAGCCTCCAGGGTGCTGGGGTTATAGGTGTATACCACCAAAACCAGTCTTAAAACTGCTTTTTAACTAAGAGGTCCTTTATATCTCACCAGCTTTATTTTAAAGAACTATGATATTCAGTATTTTTCCATGAGAGATATTGATCAACTTGGTATCAAGAAGGTGATGGAACAGACATTTGATCTGCTGATTGGCAAGTAAGTAACTAAAATGTATGTCTACCTTTAGTTCTCTGAGGGGCACAGGGTAGTAGCTCAAGTCTCTTGAGCATAGATCGAACTTGGGTCCTTGCACTTGTGAGGCAGGCGGCAGCACCACTGAGCTAAATCTCCAGCCCAGTACCTTTATTTTTAAAACAAAAGCAAAATTTGTATATATAAAAATTTCAAATAGTTCACACAGGTGTAATCTGAGATTTAGTTCATATTCTTAGGTGGGGAGGGGATGTCCTTTAAGTCATGGCCAACATCCTGTGTCTCTGAAGAACTCCCCTTATCTCCATTTTAACATTTCACTTTTGAGATGAGAAGTGTTCCTTGTTCCAGTGGGCCCATTCTTTCTAGCCTCATTATGGCATCCAGTTTTATATTAAGCAAATCCTAGTATCAAGAGGGCAGATGGATGCTAATCAAATGTTATATAAAGAACATTTTCCTGCTGAGTGGAGGGTGCACAACTACAATCCCAGCTACTAGTGAGACTGAGACTGATCACAAGTTTCAGGCCAGCCCAGGGAACTATGTGAGACCTTGTCTGAAAAGGGGGGAAAAAGCATTTCCCCAATGTCGAGCCTTTACTTCTGGGTAATTTGGGTGATTAATGTCATTTCCTAAGCTATTAAAAAATAGTTATTTGGCTTAAGGATGTGGGGGCATTAGTTTCAGCCATGGGACACCAGCATTCAAGTTGGAATTGCAAGTTTTTGGGTTTGCAGACATAAAATTAGAATTAAGTCCAGCTGCTATTGCACTCAGAATAACCACACCTGTAACCTAGATCAGGCTAACTCAAATTCAGTATATTAGAGCCCATTCTCCTATGGAAATGAAGTATTCATTATACTGGTTCTAATGCCCAGGCTAAGCGCAGAAATATAAACAGGAATTAGTCAGGTGAGGCATGCAAAACAGATGATAGTATTATGTAGTAGTATGTAGGAAATTAATATGTAATTTTAGTAACTCCTAGGAACAGGAAACCTGGAAATCTGTATTAACAAAATGCAGTGGTGCCTCAGTTCATGAACTTAATTCTTTCCATAATTCTGGTTGCAACTAGAATTACTTTGTGAACCAAGGTACCACCGTACCAAGACAGGAACAAAATCAAGGAGTTGCAGTCACAGGAAGTTGTCTACAAGCACTACCAAAAATGTATTCTCTTGTCCTCATTCTAGAAGACAAAGGCCAATCCACCTGAGTTTTGATATTGATGCATTTGACCCTACGCTGGCTCCTGCCACAGGAACCCCTGTGGTAGGGGGACTGACCTATCGAGAAGGCGTGTATATTAGTGAAGAAGTACACAATACAGGTATGGAGCAACCAGGGCGGCTGTACCTGTTAATTCTGTATGTAAACATGCTGCTGTCTCTTGCCTAAAGGGGAATTTTTCCATGTCACTGCAGTGTTTTTGCTTAAACTTTGATAGCTACAGCTGGGCATGGTGGCTCACGCCTGTAATTCTAGCACTCGGGAGGCTGAGACAGGAGGATTGCTGTGAGTTTGAGACCAGCCTGGGCTACATAGTGAGTTCCAGGGCAGTCTCAACTCATAGTGAGACCCTGCCTCAAAAAAAAACAAAAACAAAACAAAAAACCAAAAAACAAAATCAACTACATAGTGAGACCCTGTCTCAAAAAAAACCAATAAATAAATAAACAAACAAGCAAGCAAACTTTAATAGCTAAAAAGCATATGGCCAAAATATAAAGGAAAAAGTTGTTTAGAGACATATCTGAATCTGGATTGTATCAAAATACACACTAAGTTAATTGTGAATAAGAAAATGTGTCGACACAAAATATTTAAGAACAGACTGCAGAGGCTGTTGGTTTAGTGTGAGTTGGGATTTTGGAGTTAAATGGGACCTGTTGAAGATTACAAGTTGGACAATATCTTGGTCCTTTTTATCTAGAGTAAGTTTTGAGTTTGTTTGATAAGTGCTTTAATAAGAACACAGTTGGATGACTGGCTGACAGAGCAGGTTTGGATTACTGAGAGTGGCCACCAATGCTTACCATCTCAAAACTCAAACTTGTTTGCTCAGTTTCCATTGGTAAGAAAGCTTCTGGTTTTAAGGCTACTTTAAATGACTGTTCCTTCCAAAATTTAAACTACCACATGACATTGCTTCAGTAAGCATTATGAAACTGAGTACAGAAAATCATACGGACTCCAGGCTGAAAGGTTTAGGGCTCTAGGGAACCCCTGACTAGTTGGGAAAGAAATGGGCAATAAGCCCTGGAACCTTCTAGAACCTTAAGCAAGTACTGCCTCTTAAGGCTGAGAGTGGCAAGAGTGTCTTATTCTCAGACCCATAAACCAGATGCTGCCAATGCATGGTCAGAGAACCTGGGAGTTCAGTTCTCAAGTTTGTTTCCCAGTGACACCACTCAGAGGAGCAGTTAATAACCTGCAGCACTCAGATGTGGCAGTGGCCATGCCTTGTGCCTCCTTTCCCTGCTGCAATATTCTTTTATTCCAAAAGGTAGTTGGGTATGGTGGTCCATGCCTATAAAGGCAGCATTTGGGAGGTGGCTGAAGCAGGACTGCTGACAGTTTGAGGCCAACCTGGACTACACAGTGAGACCCTGTCTCCAATACAAACAACCCCAAAAGACTGTAGGACACTGCCAACTACAAATATATAAGCAGTTTACTTAAACTTGAAGGATAGCCAAAATCTGGACATATAGGTAATATATAGTTTTAATAGTGAAAACCCTCCTAATTACTAGTTTTGGGATATACTAAAGGTACAGTTTAAGCCAGTGGAATTCAGAGACATAATTCATCAGGGACATAGGTCCATGTGCAATAAAAGAAGTGCTATGGTAACATACCTGGTCAAGGTGATGCTGCACAGTGTACTCAACTATGCATTGCGAAGAGGGTAAGATACTGAATACATACTGTAGCACCGAACATATCACCTACAATCATGTAATATCAAGAATCCATTAGGTAAACTCATTCAGGGTTCCAGACTTGACAGCCACCCTAAATATTCTCCAGTATTGTATTCTTGAAAACTAGTTTGCTCAGATGGCTGAGGGAGATTAACTTCACTGAGAACAACCAATTAAAAAAAAATTCTCACTGGGAATTTGACTCAGTGGTTCTGTTGCTTGCCTTGCAAGTGCAAGGGCCTGAATTCAATCCGCTGTACCAAAAAAAAAAAAAAAAAAATTCTCCAGAGAAGTAGATCATGTATGGAGGTGGGGGCTGATCTGGAGGGTTTGCTCCTTTCCCTCAGTTCACTGTGGGCCAAAAGAACTTGGGAACAAGTTCACACACCCCTTGCAGAAGGCAGTTGGAGTCCAAATTAAAAAGTAAAGATATGGCTGAGTCTTCTCTTGACCAAATATAAGATGCTAGGTCAGTATGCTGGGAGACAAAAAAAATGTGTTGGACATGGAACCTGCTCTCAGAACTCATGCAGAAAGAGTAACAATAAAGTCTGTAGTGATTACTACACCTCAGGGCAGGGGGTATGTACTTTAAGAGATAAAGATGGGACTGGAGGTATAGCTCAGCAATGCCCTGAGCTCCTTCCCCAGCGCTGCAAAAACAAGCAAACAAACAAAAATAGGTAATAGCGTCTCAAAGCCTAACAGCTATGCCTATTATGTTTGTTGAACAGGGATGATTTCATTACTTGAAAGATTTCTTTCAGTCCTACTCTGTACAAAGGGCTTTCCATTGAGTTTTATAGTGGAAAATGGTTGTGTTTTTATCTTGGCATGTTCTCTTTGTCCGGGTCGCACAACTCTCAAAGTGGCAGCTCAGGACTTTTCTCAAGTCCTGTCTACCTTGTTCTTCCAGGGTTGCTGTCAGCACTGGACCTCGTTGAGGTCAATCCTCACTTGGCCACTTCAGAAGAAGAAGCAAAGGCTACCGCTAGTCTTGCAGTGGATGTGATTGCTTCGAGTTTTGGTCAGACAAGGGAAGGAGGGCACATTGTCTATGACCAGCTGCCTACTCCCAGTTCACCAGATGAATCAGAAAATGAAGAACGCGTGAGAATTTAGGAAATATTGTATGCTGGGATATTTCACAAAGAGTTTCAAGTGGGCATTCACGTTGTGAGGCATTCTGAGGGGGACAGATATATGGCTGTCCTGGGTCAGTACCGCCTTAATGAGAACATTGTGCATTCTCACTAAAGTTTCCCCTCTCCATTTTGGTGACCAACACTACTGTAAACGTATTTTGGTGGTTTGCAGTTTACAAGGTACTATGCAAATCTGAAGAAATCATAAACATTTATTACCTTGGTATATCATAATGGTCTTGTTGTCCTTCCTTCACATTTATGTGATTTTCTGTCTGCCCCCCCCCCTCCCACAGTTGGCTACACAGCGCCGCATGTTCAGCCCACAGCAGCATCACGCTTGTTCCATATCCTGTCTAATACCATTCATCCACAGGGTCAACGTTCTGGTCCACAGCGCCCTTCCTAGAAGTTCAATGCTTGCGAAAGAACTTGTAATAAACCAAGCCTCCCAGGATGATGAGCTCCAGTAAGATGACGATGGAAAGCAGCAGCTTGTTGGTTGTCACTCTACACAGACAAGCAGAAAAAGTAGTAGCTTACATAACCGTATTTCTTGCTGTTCTTAATACTTTGGGGTTTGACCCAAGGCCAATGGTGGGTCAGACTATGAGACAGATATTTTTGTTCAATCACAGCCCTTAAAAAGTGCTCTTACCGTTCTCTGGCTGGCAGGTGACAACTCAAGATTATTTAGTTGTCACTGAGCTAACACTGTCTACCTCATAGAAAAGTGGAAGACAGATACAAAGCAGCAAAATAGTTTGATTCTGAAATGTCTTCCAATCATTTGAAACAAGAGAAATACAAATCATTAGCCATGTAAAGCCACATCAGCTACACAACTGTGAATGTAGGGTGGGAGAAGGGGGTGGGCAAGACTCGAGAATCAAGTCCAGCTCGTGGATGGGTCTTGCTTTTAGAAGTAACTAAAGTCTGGGTATTGTCTTCCAACCTCATGTAAATTTCTTCCTAATTATTTTCTTTGCTCTCCTATCCAGTTATCTGTACTTTGTTTATTGTGCATTTTAGATAAATACATAACTTTCAACATAGGAATGTGTACCTATATGCATGATACATCTTTGTTTCCTAATCTCCCCTTCCTTCAAGCCGTCCTCTCAAAAGCTTTGTTTCCATTTTGTTCCTTCTCCCTCCCGCTCCATTGTTCCCTTTCTCATTCGAACATTTTTGTCCCATTTCTCAAACCTGTTAATACATTTTTGGTCCTTACACTTTTGGTTTCTCATAACAAACAATGTGGTACTTATACATGTGTCCAATTTATTTCACTTCAGAGTATAATAAAAAGTATGGTCTCAAGGTGCATCCATTTAGCTAGATGGTCTCAAGCCTATCCTTTATGGTAGAGCAGTATTTTATTGTATAAAAAACCCACAACTTTGTTCATCAGTTGATGGGCATTTGGGCTGTTTCCAAGATTTAGCTATTACAAACTGTACCACTATAAACATGGATGTGCATATATCGCTGTGGTATGCTTTTAATTCTTTTGGGAAGATAAGGGGAATAGCTGAGTCAAATGAAACTTACAATTTTTAGTATTTTTTTTGGTACCGGGGATCAAACTTGGGTCCCTGCTCTTGCAAGGAAGACAGTGGAACCACTGAGCTAAATCCCTGGACCGAAATTTCCATTTTTTTGAGGAATCTCTATCCATACTGATTTCCACAACGTTGCATGACTGAACACTAACACCAACAATAGATTTCTTGAAAACAGCCATTCTTTTTGGAGTAAGACGGAATCCCAGTGTTGCTTTAATTCGCAGCTCTCAAATGACCAGTGATGTTGAACATTTGCTGTTTCTACTTCACCTGAGAAATGTCTATTCATTTCAGACACCCATTTTTGGACTGGTCTTTAAACTTGGGAGGTCTGATATTTTTAAGTTATTTGTATATTCTAGATATTAGTCCTTTGAGGAACAGCTGGCAAAATTTTTTTTGCCCATGCTATGGGTTGTCTCTTCACTCTGTTGTATTTTTTTGTGCAAAAGTATTTTTAAAAATAAGATCAGATCCCAGTTTTTGATTGTATTTTCTATACAACCTAGGAGTTCATAAATTTTTTGCCTACACCAAAACCTTCGAGTTCTAGCTGTTCTATCTTCCAGTAGATTTAGTATTTGTTTTAATATTTAGATCTTTGATCCATTTTTAGGTTAGTGCATGGTGAAAGATATGGGTCTTTCAGCATGTGGAAAGCCAGCTTTCCCAGTACTATTTATTAAAGAGGCTATCTTTCTTCCAGTGAAGGTGTTTGGCTTCTTTGTCAAAGGTAAGGTGGCTGAGTATGTCTGGAGTTGTTTCTGCATCTTCTAAACTGTTCCACTGAATCATCTGGTCTGTTTTTTGGGCTAGTACCATGCTACTGTTCTTACAATAGCTTTGTAGTATAATTTAAGTCAGGGATTGTGATGGCTCCTGCCTTGACTTTGTTGCTCAGGATTGCTTTTGCTATTCTAGGTCTCTGGTTCCAAATTAATTTTAGGATTGTTTTTCTCTAATTCTGTAAAATATTCTATTGGTATTTTGACCGGGATTGCATTAATTCTGTATAACTATTTTGGAAGAATGGCCATTTTCACTATATTGGTCCTTCCTACCAAAGAGCAAGATATATCTTTCCATTTTCTAATATCCTCTTCTGTCGTCTTTTTCAGAGTACTATAGTTTTCAATGTAAAGTTCCATTAGATTGATTCTTAATATTTCATTTTTTTGGATGCTACTGTGAAAGGTGTCATTTCCCTAATTTCTCTCTTGGTGATTTAATTAGCGTACAGCAATGCTGTTGATTTATAAGTGTTGACTTTGTATCCAGCTACACTACTGAATTTGGTAATTAAATGAGTCTTTTGGTGGCATTTTTGGGGTATTCTATGCAGAGTATCATGTCATCTGCAAATAATGGTAATTTAATTTCTTCCTTTACTATCCTTATTCCTTTTGTTTCTCTCTCTTGTCTGATTGCTCTGGCTGATGTTTCCAGAACTATATTGAACGAGAGTGGTGACAGTGGACATCCTTGTCTTGTTCCTGATTTTATTTATTTTTTGGTACCAGGGATTGAACTTAGGTCCTTGTGCTTGCGAGGCAGGTGGCAGAACCACTGAGCTATATTCCCAACCCCTGGTTCCTGATTTTAGAGTGAAGCTTTCAGTTTTTGTCCATTTAGTATAAAGTTGGCTGGTGGCTTAACATAGATGGCTTTTATTAGATTGAGATAAAGGCCATCTATTCCAATTTTCTGTAGGGTTTTTATGTATGGGTGTTGGGCTTTATCAGACACTTTTACTGCATCTATTGAGATGATCATGTGGTTTTTGTCCTTGGTTCTGTTAATATAGTGTATTACACATTTATTAATTTGCATATGCTAAACCATCCCTGCAACGCTCGGATGAATCCTACTTGGTCATGGTGTATAATCTTCTTGCTGATTTGCTGCATTGTTTGCCTACTGAGGATTTTTGTGCCTATGTTCATTAGGGAAACTGGCCTGTACTGGTTTTTGGTTGGCTCTTTCTGCTTGCTTCCAGGAATGACATTGGGAGTACTGCTTCCTTTCAATTTCATTAAAGAGAAGTAGCAGCATTAGGTCTTCTCTAAATTTCTTGTAGAATTTAGTAAATCTGTCAGGACCTGGGCTTTTCTTTATAGGCAGGTTTTTAATTGCATCTTCTATTTCAATGACTGACATTTCATTATTCAGAATTTGTATATATTCTTGATTCAGCTTTGGTAATTCATATGTATCTAAGAATCTGTTTCTTTTCTTTTTTTGGTACAGGGGATCGAACTTGGGACCCTGCCCTTGCAAGGCAGGAGGCGGCACCACTGAGCTAAATCCCCATCTTATTAGTATACAGGTTCTCAAAGTAGGTGTTGATGATCTGTATTTCTGCAGGATCTGTTGTGATTTCACACTTTTCATTTCTAATTGTATGAATTTGAGTCTTTTCTAGTTATCTGTATTATTTTAAAATTTTACTGTTTATAGAAAAAAAGCCCAATCTCTGGTTCTCATATCCACTCTGAGTTTCTCCATATTCCATGAAGAGTTAACTACTATTTAGGAAAAGTACCCTTTCTAATTACACAAATGGGCTATAATTTTGTAGCATGTCACATGTGCCCAAGGTCATACACACTACCCAAGCTACTCCCAATTTCAAGCTCCATGGCCAATACTTACCTCAGGTTTTTTTTTTTTTAAATGTCTTCTCAGGATATCCAAAAAAAGGGCCTGAATGCCATGAAGGGCAAGCAGAGCCAAAAACATGCACTAAGTAACTACTGAAAACTGCTTTATAATTAAGTTTTAAAGTATTTCAAGGAATATGAAGTTCTATTATTCTCACGTGTCTTCTCTAAGGAATCCAAGCTGAGATTAAGTCCTTTCGGTGGACAAATTCCCACTGCTTCTAGTCAATAGTAAATAATTTTAATACAGGATTTTATCCCTTTATTTCTGCTTATCTGCTGAGTAAAACTGAGTATAGGACTATGTTTCCCTTACTGAGATGATTTATTAGGAACTTTGTAAGTCACTGTTTTAAGTTTTCTTGGTTGAAAGACATTCAGAGTTAAGAGACATTAATTTTGTAACTCTTTTTAAAACTTACTTTCTGGACATTGAACGGAGAATCTTTCGACTTTTGCTCAAGTTTTCACTTGTGTTTACCAGCTGAGAAGAGAAAATACCAGTTATTTCTCCCTTCTTTCTAAAGTGCATACTATATAAAACTTGAACATTCTCAAACAGTGGGCATTAAGATGGGGAATATACTAAAAATGTCAAGAAATCAGCCAAGTTAAATGATGGCCTCTGAGTACAAGCAGAAGGACCTAGAAAGGACAAGATGCTTTAGTACTCACCAAGGAGGCCAGGGAATCATCAGTTCCCAAAGCTGCTGTGAGGGTGGACTTCTGGCTGGGACTAACTACTCAGAAGAGGAAGGTTTCTCATGCACTCAGCCAGTGACTATAAAGCAACTTAAGATTTGAATTTCATCATTCAAATTCCAGGACAGCCTCCTTAGCTGGTATGTTTCTGTAGGCTGGTGGGTAAAGTGGTAACTTTGGAGATCTAGTTATGTTTTTTCTATCTTTACCTGCCTGTGCACTGTGAAAGGACAGATTGGCCCACATGCACCTTTCCCTTCTGATTGCCTATTACTAATCTAGGAGGGTATTTCAACAGATACTACTTGCTGTCTGTTCCCATTCTGTTATGTCATGTAATTGTTGTCTCAGCTTCTTGGCTCATTCTATGGCTTGTAAATTCAACCCATCCACCTGGTGTGTTAAAAAAAATCTAAAGTCACACAATTTGTTAACACGTATCATTTTCCATAGCTGGCCATGAATTTAACACTTGTGAATTTTCACTGAAATGGGAAGAGTGCCATTCTGCCTTATTTTAAAAATGAAGAATTGCAGCTATTAAAATATATAAGAAAATCTCAAATTGTCACAGTGAGCAAATATTTTGTCTCAATCTTGATCCCACTACGTGCCATAATTTGTATTTGTATCATGCTCCTAAGAATACAGCATTCCAGCTGGGGTTAGCTCAGTGGTACAACACTTGTCTAGCATATGTAAAGTCCTGGGTTCAATCCCCACCACCCAACAAATATAAATTCCACTGACAGTCTGCACTATTTTGAAAATTCCTATGGATGTCAACTTGTTTTTAGAAAGGAAGGAATGAATTTTTTTCAGAGTTTGGTGAAATTATTACTAGAGATCTTCCAATATAATAATTTGGTATCTATATTTTTTCTCACAATTATCCAATTATTTTGAGTAATAGTAAAGAGTCACAGTCCAGGACTAACTATGATTTAAACATTTACAAACTATCATTTTCCTGTACTGGGGATTGAAACACAGGTCTGAGCTACATCTTCAACCCTTTTTTATTTAGAGACAGTGTTGCTAAATCACTAAGCATGGCCTTTATCATCTGTATTTCTATCAGCATTCTGGTCTCAGCTTTGACCAGAAGCTCACATCAAGCTTGACTTACAGAATTCTAGAGCTTGATTCTAGAATTCTTGCCTGGCATCTCCAAACCTTTCCAAACTTTGCCCACAAACCAGTTCCAAAGGCTTCTAAACCACATGATCAGGTACAGTCACAGCAATGATCCCCTGCCTCAGCCTCCCAGAGTGCTGGGATTATAGATATACACCCTCATTCTCACCTCTCGAGGTATTATTTTTGACATGTGAAAAAGATCCTTGGTTCTAAATGACAGGGTCTTAAAAGCAGACGGTGTTTTCATAACCATATTCCACTAGATACAGAAAATTTCAGGTCAATGGCTTTGAAAATATATCTTTTGATGTCTCTTGCTAAAGTGAAATCAGGCATTAATAAGGATGGATGGCTGTAATCTTATAACTGCAAAAATCAGGTTCTTTCAGTCTTTAAGTCAATTTTTTTCCAGTGACATCTAAATTTTAGGGGTGAAATTATTTTAATGGGAGATTTCTTTCCACAAGCAAACTAATCATTGAGAAAAGCATTAACCTAAAAAACGGTTATTCCTCTGAATTTGGAGGCAGTAGCTTCCGGCCTTAGTTAGGGGGCCTGTGAGTACAGCCCACCTACTTTCCCCATTTCTTGCCCCTTCCCTGTCTGCCCAGGCTTACTCTGCTCTTGGTGCGTTCCAGCTGGTCTCGCTGTTCCCCCAGCTCTTCTATGATTTCCGAGCCAATCTGGTCAGTTTCTGTGGCAATCCGATGAGACCGCTCAATACTCTGGGTGGCCCGGTTGAGGCTTTCAGTGCCTTGCAGAAGCAGTGCCCTCTGAAACTGCAGTCGATTCTGACAGGCGCATGGAAGGGAAATGTTAGACTTCGTCTGCTGTGAGTTCACTGCCAGTGTGTTCCTTATGACTCTCCTTGTTTAAAAAAGCAAACAGTGAGCAACAGTTTTCAATGTCCCTAGGTATCTGAAGGGGATTGGTTCTAGGATCCTCGTGGATACCAATATCCATGGATGCCCAACTCCCTTAAAATGGTATGGTATTTGCATGTAACCTATGCACTTCTCGTATACTTTAATTATTCATTTTTTGCTGAGTTGGTAAACCCAGGGCCTCATGTGCTCTACCCCAGCCCTCCCACATTTGTCCCTAGCTTATGATACCTAATACAATGTAAGTGCTAAAAATAGTTGTATTGTTAAGGGATAACAAGAAAAGTCTGTACATGTTCAGTACAGGTGTAGGTTTTTTGTTTTGTTCCAAGGTTAGTTGACAGTGCACATGCAAAACCTATTACTCTAGAGGGCCAACTGCACTTTTAAGACAGGACAAAACATGCCAATGAACTGTAAGATCTTGTTCAAGGTCACAGACTGAAGCAGAACCTAGAATCCCATCAACAGGATCCCAGTATCTGCCACTTCACTGTCTGTTATACTTAGGAAACAAGGGGAGAAGATTTTTTTTAAAACAAGCATTTTCACCATGTTTATGGTGAATGTGAATTGGTCTGCATGCCTCTTGGACTAGCAGTTTCAGAGGCAGAAGCCCAGGCTGGGAGGTGCAGGACAACGGTGCTACAGGCAAACTAGCTCACCTCAGCAGCTCTAGGAAAAGACTAACTCACTGAGGACTCCCACCTGACCAGTGCTGAGGACTGGCAAACCATGACAAAGCTTTTTTTTTTTTTTTTTTTTTTT